CTTAGATGATCTGATACAAACAGGATTAGTTTGGAGAATTGCATGAGTAATTAATCTGTCAAATTAGCAGATTGTTGGAGAATTATGTAATATTTCTTTTCCCCCAGGAGGTGTGTGATTGTTCATGATCGTGATCGGAAGATCTAATTTCTGGTTATAATTATCCAGGTTTGGTCGAAAGAACATGCTCGATGTCATTTGTTAGATCAGAGGATGGGTTTAGTTTAGGTTTTTTGTCATTAGTCCAGGTTAGAAAGTTTTGATAGTGGAGGTCATTGCGAACCTAAAATTCCTTCGAACTTCAGCTATTGAAATTAATTTACGGGATCTAGATCATGAAATAATACGCAGTTGAAGACAAAATACACATATTTGAAGCTGAGATTTGTTTGTCTTAGTTTGTGTTTTGCCGTTACACATGTTTGATTTTTCTGGTATTTCATAGTTTCTGTTTGTTATTTGAGTGTAATGCTTTCATTGTTTGTGCATCTCTTAATGTGCTCCAATAATGACTTCAGGTTTGCCTCCTCGCTACCGAGATTCAGTCCGAGCAATAACTCCAGGATTGCCTCTCTTCCTCTACAACTACTCAACCCACCAACTCCACGGAATTTTTGAGGTTCGTTTTTGGTTTTTATTAAGATGAAATCTATCAGTCCATACTTCTTGCAATCAGATGAAAGATAGGCATCCAAAATCTAGAACACTTGATCTAATAAATACTGACCTTACATGCAAACGATTCTTTTCAGGCTGCAAGCTTTGGTGGCACAAATATTGATCCAACTGCTTGGGAGGACAAGAAAAACCCTGGGGAATCGCGCTTCCCTGCTCAGGTACGTTTACTAATGGACCTTACTCTCGACTGTGTACCATTAGTACTTTTTTAGTCTGCAGTCTTCAATCCCAATATCAAACCATAATTTACAAGGGACGTGTTGTCGTTTTAGGAGATTAATGCGTATTATATTAGTTGGGAGTTTCGAGTATATGGTTTCACTATGAACATGTTAATGATCTTTGGATATTATGAGTTTGAGATTTACGAATGTAAACATTTCCAGGTGCGCGTGCTGACAAGGAAGGTTTATGAGCCTTTGGAAGAGGACTCTTTCAGACCAATTCTTCACCATTACGATGGTCCTAAGTTTCGGCTTGAACTGAATGTCCCCGAGGTAATTGTTCTTTAAGACTCACATCAGTCAACAATGTTCTTAAACGAAATGAATTAGCATCAAAACTTCGACCTAATGTTTTATGTTGCACATTGAATGTTCCAGGCGATCTCCCTTTTGGACATTTTTGCAGAAAATGATCCTTGAACACATGGCACTGAAAGTACAGGCAAACGCATACAATACACGGGAGATGAACAGATATTAATGTATAGAATGATAGGAGTTCTTTGAAGAGGCAAATACTCCACTTTTCTGTATTATGGGAATGCATAATATGCTGTAGAAAATAATGAAGAAGGATTTGAAACTTGTTTGAATATGTATCTTCCTATGATTGTTATACAAAGTCCTATGTTGTCGTGTGTTAGCAAATGCAGTTGTAAGTTATATAGCGGCATTTATGTTCTACGTGAATTGTTTACTTTATAACCATTCAATACCCTCAAGAAACCATTCAATTTGCAAAAAATTGATCTCGTGGATAGGAATTTCCATAGTCTGTATCATCTTGTAGCTTGTTCAAGCGGGCTGATCCTTGCCTAGTGCAAAGAGGTCACGGAAGTTGGTGACCTGATAATAAGGAAGCCGGTGAACGGCTTCCATAAGTAAAACGGTCGATATGAACTATTGTATATTATATGCATAGCATAGTTAGTCTGTCTACTGTTGATGGTAATTATAGCCCTTGTTCCTCATTCTTTGGGAAAAAATGCATTTTTCTATAGTACTTCGACATCATTTCAATCACACATTATTCAATAAAATAGTATTACACGTAAATCTGAAATTTTTCTTTATTTTTAACTACACATTTTCCATTAATACACTATTCAAAAATTCGTTTTTTCCCCAAAAATGGGGCTCAAACAAGGGCATAAGTCCACAGTTTTTCCTCCCATACAGAAGCTGGGTTCACAGAACCTTGCCAGATAGCTCATGAATGATGGGCCACACCTGAATAAAAA